GTTACCTTCTTTACTGGATGCCTTTCACATAACACCACCACAGCACATCTAAACCCTTATCTTCACTCAACATCAAGTTCAAATCCCTGACATCCACAACGTCTTTCATAATAAACAGCTACCCCCACTTGGTGTTTTTTCTTGCTATGCTCACTTGCCATTTCTGACTTAATTCCTTTTCTTATAGTTAATTGTGACCATGTACATTCTCCCTCATCAGACTCTGAGCTTCTGGAGGACAGACTCTGCATTTCATAAACTTCTGTGTGTCCTCTATTGCTCATTGTAAGGCCTTATGTGTCCTAAGTATGAAATGCCACAAATTTCAACACCAAGAGCCAAGAAGTCAGGTATCATAAAGATAATAGTCATCATTGTATAGCAGAATGCTTAAATGCTTCTACTATTTACTAGCTCTGTGACCTGGGGCAAGTTTCTTAATCTCTTTGAAACTGAATTTCTTCATATATAAAAACAGAAATAATAAGAATAGTAATAAATTTAGTATAAAGTTGTGATTAAACATTAAAAGTATCATAAATATTGGCATGTAATAAATGCTCAATATTTTGTAACTATTACTTTTATTATAAAAGAAAGAAAGAAAGAGAGAGAGAGAGAGAGAGAGAGAGAGAAGGAAAAAAGAAGAAAGAAAGAAAGAAAGAAAGAAAGAAAGAAAGAAAGAAAGAAAGAAAGAAAGAAAAAAGAAAGGAAAGAAAGAAAAGAAAGGAAAGAAAGAGAGAGAGAGAGAGAGAGAGAGAGAAAGAAAGAAAGAAAGAAAGAAAGAAAGAAAGAAAGAAAGAAAGAAAGAAAGAAAGAAAGAAATTTAAAAACAGAAAAAAAGAATTATTTCTTATAAGGTCTTCCTAGCACAATCATTTTTGAATATTTTTTTTCCAAATCATAGTGCTTGGCCTAAGGTTGCTTTTAAGAATAAACCATTTTTAATCATTAAAACATGGACTTTGCTTAAATAGGCTAAACTGTTAGTATAGTATGGTATTTTGAGTAGATTGAAGCTCACAGGCAAATACTTGGAAGGTTACACAGATTATTGGGATGCTATGGTCTGAATATTTTCCCCTAAAATTCATATGTTAAAATCTTAATGACCAATGTAGTGTTTTGAGGATGTGGCACTTTTGGAAAGTGCTTAGGTCATGATGATGGAGCCCTTGTGAATGGGATTGGCGCTCTTTAAATGAGATTCCCACAGAGCTCTATATCCCCCTTCTACCATAGAAACACATCTACTGGGAACTAGGAGAGGGCCCTCACCAGAACCTGACCATGCTGGTGCCTTGATCTTAGACTTCCAAACATATAGAACTGAAAAATAAATTTCTGCTGTTTATAAGCTACCAAGTCTGTGCTGTTTTGTTATAACAGTCCAAATAAACTAAGTAAGACATGAGATTTGAGAAACATTATTTTAAAAATGTCTACAATCCGACATTGTTACTTTTGTACTTTGAAATTTTGAACAAGATGAATTCATTGCACAAAAGGGCACCACTCGTAGCCATTTAGAATGTCAATGGCCAGCAAAATCCTGGATCTTTTTATTAGATTGCAGAATATCTCCAAATGTTTCTTTCTTAAAAATTCTAATGATGAAAGAGAGTTCAGATTGGATGACTGTTCTGTCCCAGGCTGTCCTGCAGAGAATGCCAATTAGGCCTAAGTCATATACTGGAGGTGCAGCATGTGGCACTCTAATTATTTACCTACCCCTAATGATGACCAGCTTATATCAAAGAGCAGTTTCTTCTACAGTCCAGTATGATTAAAACCAAACTCTAATGTGTACCTAATTATGCCAATGAATTCCATATTTTCTGTTGGTTATAAATCACAGCAATGTTAGGAGTTTTGATTTTCACATGGTCTTATTTTGCAGCTTTTGACTCCCTGTATATTGATAAGTTCTTTTAGTGAGAATCTATGATCTACCATGTCTTTGAGAGCCAAGAGCTATATGCCTCAACTTTCCACCTCGTTTCCCGGCACCCCATTGGCCAAATTTCTGTGGCACAAGCTTCTATGATTCATCCCATCATAGAATCAACCTAGACCCTCTTTACAGAGACCTTTTCTACAAGCTTATATATGCTGATAGGAGCCATATTGTTTTTTGGACAAAGGTATTCTGAATTTCCAAGGGCAAGTTCAAAATCTGGAAGCTCTACCTGGAGGGATTAGGTTTCCTGTTTAAGTATACAAAAATCCCTTCACTCTAAAACACCACTATAGGACTCAAAAACTTAAGAAATACCAAATGTGCTGGTGGAAGCTCATTTGTTTTAACTTTCTATTACATTCTACAATCTGTGTCCTTCCTAAAACCAAAGTTCTAACATGAAAATTGTAATATGTAGCCCCAAGTCTGGCTTATCAGGACATAGACAACAATGAGAACTTGACCATCTGCTTCATCTTTTTTTTATTTTACTTTAGAAAAAATGTGTGTAATGGATATATATTATCCCCTAATTTTAATTTCTGTGCCTCAGTTGGATAGAGCTTTAGCTGGGTTCTCCATTGTAATATGATGCCCTTCCCTTCTGTGTACATTTGTTTCAGAAAGTGAAGTATATGACTCTAACTTCCAATAGTTACAGACCCAAGAAAATTTATAGTATCATATGAACCATGCCAAGGTAAAGCAACACAGTAAGAAATCTAATGTTTTTCTTTAGCCACAATCTATTCCACAATGATTGCAAACCAAGGTTTAGAACAACACTTTCTTTGCTCTTACCATTGTATTAGGCTTCTTATTTTCAAAAACAAGCAGAATGTAAGTAAGGCCCATAGATCTATGTGTACTATAAGCATGACTTACATTCTAACCCCTATTTGTAACATCACTCTAAAACGGATCGACCTACCTTACCATTTCCCATTGCCTAAGGGAAGGAAACTACTATTAGCACTGAATATTCACATCAGAACAAAAGAGCATCAAAAGTAAACTAGCCATACTTTGCATCACTGTTTAGGTTTTTTAATGAGTATATTTATCCCAGGGTATGCATTATCATCCAGATGTTGCTCCACATATAACTCTGTACATCTTGAAATCTAATTTATTCTCACATTCCTTTGCAGCTACCAAGGATTCACTGTTTCTGTAGCATCATTCAGAATTTGTTTCCAATGTCAGCTTGTCTTCAAATCAATGCATACATTCAAACAGACCAAAGAAACTTCCAGTTGACAAGCTAATCAGAAAATGATTGTTGAAATACAAAAGATCTAGAATAACTAAAATGATTTGTAAAATAAAGAAGAAAGTTGGAGAACTCATGTTGTCTGATTTTACAACCTACAGTAATCTAAATAGTGCAGTATTGGCATAAAGATAGATGTACAGATCAATGGAACAGAAGAGAGGTTTTAGATATAGAATCACACATATATGGTCAATTTATTTTTTTTTATAAAGATGCTAAGATAATTAATTAGGAAAAGGATATTTTTCAAAAATGTGCTTGGAAAAATTGAATATCTGCATGCAAATATTTATACATATATGTGTGTATATGTAAAAAAATATATAGATATGTCTATATATACACACATATATAATATATATATGTGTGTATATATCAAGCCGTATACAGAAATTAAACTGAATTGTATCACTGACCAAAATATAAGAATTTGTAGCTGTAAAACTTCTAGGGAAAATATTTATAAAATCTTTTTGACTTTGGATAGGGCAAACATTTCTTAGAAAGAATACATAAAGTAACAAACATTAAAAATTGATACATTGGACTTTATACAAGTTAAAACTTTTTTATTTAAAAGAAACTGTTAAAAATAGATAAGTAAGCCACAGACTGGGAATAACTCAGATATCAGTTGTATATTTCATATGATGGAATGCAATTCAGAAATAAAAAGGAATGATCTACTGATATATGCAGCAATATGAATCTCAATAGCAATATGATAAAGAAAGAAGTCAAATATAAAACTCTAACCACTGTATAATTTAATTTATATGAAATTGTAGAAAACGTAAAATTATAGTTGTGGAAGATCTATGCTTACCAGGGACTGGGATTAGGAAGAGGAAAATGACTGCAAAACATCAGGAGGAAACTTTGGGACATAATGGAAATAGATCTTTATTGTGGTGGTGGTCAAATTACTATATACTTTTGTGAGAACTCATAGAATTGTACAGCTAAAATTAGTGGATTTATTTTCTGGTAATTATATCTCAATGAAACTGATTAAAATGTACTTGATGAAAAAGATACACATATGTATTTATTTATATATACTTTACATATATGCATATACTTTACATATGTATATATACTTTATATTTATGTATATGTACTTTATATATGTGTGTATACTTAATATTCAATAAAGATAAATGTCTGATGTGTAGCCCCCTTCTTTATGCACCAGTGAATATGATAGCTGCTAATAATTAAACTGTAAAACAAATACCACTGGAATGAGTAAATCAAAGTGCTATTAATTATAATACCATGTTTTTCAGTTTGAAGTACATATTTACAAAAGAACAAGGGAGTTTACATAAGCCACTTTGTTGATTGACTCACTGATTACCAGCATGCCTGAGTGATTACCTTGAGGGCAGCTCTAGTAGTCCAAAGGCCATGCTATATAGAGGAGTTCCATGATTGTAAAATGGATAATTAAAATATCAATAAACTCAAATGCACATTCTATATGAAATCAACAAAGGATGAGCAGCAAATAGATGGTCAATCAATAGTTGCCAGAGCTTGGGATACAGAAAAAATAAAAAAAATTCAAAACCATAAAAGACCCATGCAACAAATATATTCAAATATCAAAGAAGAAAAACACAAAAAAATTAGGTTGAAAGCCTTTAAAGAAGCACCCACAAATGTGCATAGCATTATTTTGCTTCACTTTACCTACATCTGATTAACCAACTATTTTAATTATAACCACAAAGCAAGGATCTCAGCAGTGCATACCTGTATTATAATGAAGTGTCTGGTTATTCTTAGTTCTAAAACAGATCTGCACCTCATGAAGACTTTGTCATATGGAATTCGGTGAAGCCAACTACATTAAGGACTCTGGAATATATCCTCTGTGAAATATGGCTAAAAGATATAAATAACAAAATAAAAAAATCAATGTTTATTGCAACTTCTATAACATGATATAAAAAGTTTATTAAGCTATATATTGTGAATGAAGTAATGTCATTGATTGATTAATGTGCAATCTCTTGCTATTCATCCATCAATAGGTCCTTTTGGCAGTTATGCTTGTTAGACAAACTGCCTATTATATCTACTATAGCGTGAACCCAGAATCTTAGAAATGAACTTTAGAAAAGTTTGAGAACAATAAAAATTTTAAACAGAATTTTGAACAAATGATACATAATATGTAATGCTACTTGATGTGGGAGGATTCAAGGGCAAACAAAACTGAAATGCGTGGTCATGGACAAGTTTAGTAAGGATCAAAAACTACAAGAGATGATTTAATGAAGGTCCTGGAAAAAGGCATTGCTTCAACACCTTAAGCACAAATCCCCTGTGGTTCCCACAATTGCACTTTAAAATAGACTTTGACACTTGGAAAATTGACTCATAACTGAAATGCCCTGTTCACTTTCTTATAAAGCAGTGTTTTTCAAATTTTCATCTTCATAACCATCATCTGAGGGACAGGTTACAAGAACTCAGAATCTTTGGCTTTCTTCCCAAAGATTGTGACATATTACATGTAAGATGAAACCTAGCAATCAGAAAGTTAAACGAGCACAAGGTGATTTTAAGAGATGGCCCATAAACTGAATAAATAAATAAATAATTTTAAAAATTATTTGCCCTTGGATCAAAAGACACATTTCTAGCTTTGCAATTTATTTCTACTGCATTTCCCTGACTTTTCTCTCTGTATAACCCATTGAAGGAATCCCCTTAACTTTACCAAAAGCCATCCAGCATCTTCTTGAACACCAGTTATAGGAACTTACTACTTTTTTTTTTTTTAAATATATCTTTATTGATTTCAGAGAGAGGAAAGGAGAGGGAGAGATAGAAACATCAACGATGAGAGAGTCATTGATCAGCTAGCCCGCAACCCGGGCCTGTGCCCTGACCAGGAATCGAACCCTGATCGCCTAGATCCTAGGTCGATGCTCAACCGCTGAGCCAGGTCCGGCCGGGCGGAACTTACTACTTTTTAAAGAAGTTTATTGGAGAGCTCATATTCATTAATTCAATCTGATTTTACTGTGCTTGTTAGCATTTTCTTTTTTAGTTTATTTTCTAGTTTTCACATAAGATATAAAACTGAGTTTGTGAGTAGATGCACATTCGGTCAAAATTTTCTGTTCTAGGTACGATCAACACTCTGTACACAGAGTGTACCAAAGTATAGTCTAGGGTCTAACTTCATTTGCATGTAGATACCTTGTTGTCAAACTATTTCATTGTTTCAACCATTTGTTAAAACATGATTTTCTCCATTGAATAGCCTTGACATTACTGTCTAAATTCAATTGACCATAGATGTATCAGTTTATTTGTGGACTCTAAATTCTATTCCATTAATTGGTATGCTTAATCTTATGCCAGTACCATACTGTCTTGAAAACTGTAACTCTATAGTGAGTTTTGAAACAAGAAAGAGTGAGTAATCCAACTTTATGCTTCATTTTTAGATCATTTTGGCTGTGGATTCCAAGTATTTCTACATGTAATACCTTGTCATACTAAAATATAGATGGTTTTACTTCATCCGATAGGTTTTACTTTCACTGCAATAAATTATCCATGTCTCTAAAGAGAAGAAAGCATGTGTGGGTGTGGGTGGGAATGTCTATATATGTTCATTCAATGGTGTTCAAAAAACATCTCTGCCTAAAAGCTGTGGAATGATCTTAAATCCTAGAGTAGTAGCTCAATTGTTTGCAACAGACACTTCCTGTTTGTTAAACCAAAGCCTGAGATAGAAAGCTTTGTCAGTCCCCCAGAGCACATTCTTTTCAGCAAATCATTGTTTCTACAAATCCTGAGTGACAGTTAGTACCAAAGGAATTGCCCTTTCCTTGCTGATAGGCAGCCACCCAAAGAAGTAACCACCTGCCAGACAGATGGCTCTGCTTTAGTCAAGCCAAGCAGGATGGGGAGCTGGTGTCCAGGGTCAGGGGTCACACTGAAAATAGTGGGTCAGAGGAAAAGTCATCTAGGAAGGTGGAGGGCATTTCACAATAGGCCAAAATGAAAAGCCATACAAAATACCCCTGTGAGTTCTTTGTGCTCATACTTTTGGTGCTTGGGTTAGGGGACAAAAATACTGGCTATGTGTCCTTGGGCTTTAACTACCCCTTTGGAGTCCATTATCTTGTCCATTCCCCATCTATATAATCAGGGCTTGGCATTATCTCTGCTGCCTTATATGGCAATTCCAGGCCACATGTGGCTATTGATAACTTGAAATTGGGCTGGCCCAAATTGGGATGAGCTCAACTCTAAAACATGCACCAAGTTCTGAACACATCGCTATATATGCACACATGAGAATATAACATATCTCATTATATTTTTATATTGATTACATGTTGAAATGACAATATTTTGGATGTATTATTAAAATTGTATTTTTAATCCTTTAATGTGGGTACTAGAACATTTAAACCTATGTAGTGGATTGCAGTGGATTTCTAATGGAGAACACTTGACTATATAATCTATAATACTCTTTTCATTTCCATGATTGTTTTAAAGAAAAGAAGGAAGGAAAAAAGAAAGTTTATTTTTATGAAAATGAGATTTTATCATGATATGTATGAGTATATATACACACATGAATTTTTTTTATTTCTGAATGTAGAGCAGGAAGAATTTTTAGAAATGCATAACCTGTTGTAATAATTCTTTAATGAAAGTTGAAATATATGTAGTCAATTAAGTCAGTGACAACATGGGAAAAAAGGGGTTGACCAGTTTCTTGGGGCAGTATCCAAAGGGTGATTCAAAGACTAGCCTAGAGTAACAGACAAACTCTACCCTTTTCCTGTAGCCCCTGCCTGTATTATATGCTCCCCCTGATGCTAATATTCCCTTTCTTAAGTGTGATTGTTATCATATCACTCACCAGTTAAAAAGCACTCAGAAATTCTTTATACTCAGGACAAATTATTTAACCTGACAGAGCATCCTTTAGAACTTGGCCTCTGCTTGTCCCAGCTGCCACATCCATGGCCAAGTCTTGCCTCGCACATTGTGCTTCAGTCATGCCTTCTGCGTTTACATAACAAGCACTATAGAGCACCTACATCACGATACAAGCACTGGTTTTATGATGGCGAAGAGGGTAGAGAAGATCTGTGTCCTCATGAAGCCTATATTAGAGTTGGGGAGATAATGCCAAACAAGTAAACACACAAATACCAAGGAGAGTAAGATAGAAGGACCTAATTTAGGAAAGGTAATCAGAGAAGGTCCCTCTAGAAATTAAGCATGTAAACTAAAACATAAACCTCAAGAAGAAATGAGCTACTCAAAGACTCAGGAGAAAAGTTTTCCAAGCAGAAAAGAAGGTACAAAAGCCCTGTAGTGGAAACCCACCTACTCATTATTTAAAACTTAGCTCAGGCATCACTTCTTCAGGAAGTTTTCTCTGACCTTCCAAACCAGATTAGGTTAAATAAAATCCTCTACATTTTTCGTGCTCCCTCTCCCAAAGCTTGGTAGTTTTCTCCATCACTGTAATTACTACGTTGCACTAAAAGTATCTGTTTACATATCTGTGAGTCTAATTAAACTGACAGCTCTGTGAAAGCAGAGGCTTTGCATTTGTTCTCTATTTCTTCATGGGAACTGGCCTATTGTTTTATCCTTAGCACACAGACAGTCAATATTTATTGATCCTTTCGTAATGTCGGGTTGGCATATAATCTGACTCTGAAGTCTCTCATAATTACTGAGGTAAATTAGAGTAGATCAGGTTCTTGATGACCAAGTGAACAATTTGCCTTGCCTGATGATAAAAACAGGCTGGAAGCAGTGCACACATCTTATTCTCAGGAGTATACCTACCTAGTAAAGCTAAAACTAATGAGCTGACCTTTGGAGAGAAGCTAAGATTTGAGGACAAGCAGAAAAAAAAAAAAAAAAGTGTAAGTGAGGCTATCGGGACCTATGGGTTGCAGCAAGGGATATGGACAACAAATTAAAGAAGGAGAGTTGGTTTAGTACCCCTGGCAAGGGACGGGAAACTTTTTTTAAATCCAGGAAAAAACAGCTGAGGTGATACGGACATGTGAACACATGCAGAGCGGCATCAAAGGGGGTGAATGGGCACGTAAATTTTGCTACCTTCTGTGCTAGTTACTAAGTCTTCTCTTGGGCTTTTGTAGTCTTAGTATATCTAGAATGTCTCTTTGCCTTGCTATCTTTTCCTCTCTTCTTTGCCGCCCACCCTGTCCCTTTGATCGCAGCTACTTTGGCACTCTAGTCAGTCCATTACTCTTTCTCAGCAAGGATTCTCTTTTTCTCTTTGTTTAGTGTTGTGATACCAGTGCCTTTGTGTTAGTAGATCTCAACGTGATATGTATCACATAATATAAGTAGTCACCACTCACTGGGCTTAGTGGCTCAGGAAAACTGACCCACTGACTCAGGGGAGGGGGTAGCAAGAGATAGAACAAGGGAGGGGGATAATATAAAATAAAATCAGGAAGCCAGAGGAGCAGATAAGCTGATTCAGAGGGCACCCATTTTATATCAGAACACTGGCTTCCTATGGCAAATGACTTGGTGATGTGAACATGATAGGTCTGATTATGTCCTTAGAACATTTATTAAAAGGCCACATCCACAGCATTCACCAAACCCAAAAGCAAATTTTAGAGATAAGAAATCTTTCTATATTTCCTGAAGCAAAGGATCCTGTATGCCTTTGGCTCCTCATCACAATTCCAGTCCCCATGACCTTAGTTCAGCTTTCTCTCTTGCCTTTTCTTTGGAGAAGCAAGCATGTAGAAAGTAGCATCTTCATGTATGTCTTCTGGTCCACAGACATTCAGAATGACTGCAGTCTACTTCCCTAATCTCCACAAAAAGGCAATTATATGTAGAGG